TCCAGAAGGAGTTATATTATGAAACGCTACTCTAAGATAAAGTGCAACGGATGACAAGTGCGTGCAAATCAAGGTAATGAACGAAAATTGCATGAAAAAATGGTGCGAGGTTAACGACGGCGACCCAATTCTCGGAAGTTCGAATATTTTTTTTTAAGTTTAAATGAAATAAGATTAACGATTTATTTATGACAATAAAGGATAACATTCTGCCTTTCGACTGGCAAGGCATTTTTATGGATTTTTCGAATAAAAATAAAAGTTTTGAGAGTTTGAAGCGAGGCACCCAGAAATTAATGGCGGCGTGTTAGGTCCCTTTTCCCCTATTATACTATATACTCAATTTTGCTCAGATTGAGTCAAGACCCTGTGTGTGAAACAATTTAAATATGGGGGGTTCAACCATACATTTTCTGGCCATGCATAGTAGAATTTGTTAACAATGGGTACCCTGCGTCACCTTTCAGAGTAAACAGTGGACTCGTCCAAAGATGCTTTGTCGGCGTCTGTGAAAGTTACCTGAGATTCCTACGCAAAGGAAAGCGCGAAATCTCTGTATAGAAACTGTTGCGGCTGCGGAGCTCTACTCATTGATCATTCGCCATAGAAAAGAATCCGACATTTAAAGCCTAATATCTTCGAATATTGAGACTTTTTCATGAAAAGCTTCATTTTTGTTTCTAGAAATATTTTTATCTACAAAAATAATATCTTTTCGTGTATTTTAACTGAGTAAATCGATGACCTAGCATCGTTTTAGATAACTCAAGCCCCTCTAGGGCTTGAGTAAAAAACTGCAAAAAGGTCTTTCAGTACTTAAGGTACTTTGATTTTCATGACCAATCTTGTTCTTATGCATTTTGGCACTCATAAGAGCTACACGTGTATTATAGACAAACCAACGGACGAATGAACACCGTCCTCTCATAAACTTCACTGTGTTTATGTTCTGGCACAATTGTGATGGTGTTATAAAAATGTCATGAACTAAGTTAGTACCACATTAAACGTAAAGTCGTTGATTTTTACAGTAATACTATGGAGATTTGTCAGCAGAAAGATTATTCAACTACAGGAATTATTCAGCAATCGATTAATTGATTATATATTGTTTAATGTCCCTCTCGAGAATTTTTCACATGGAGAAGCCTCCACTCGCCGGTGGAGACTTTAAAATCTTGTCCTATAATTTGGCTCTAGCCGCCATTGAGCAGTGAGTACCATCTGACACACGGGACCTCGATTTAAACGATCTCATCTGACGGACCGGTCTCCACGTCCCACAACTGAAGTCCATAATACAGATATATGATGCTCTAGCCATGTTTTTATTTTATTTTTCATTTCTCACATTTTTGGCATAAGATTTTTTAAAATTCTTAATAAAAATCATTTCGAACAACTTTATTGCAATGCATACAGCGTCCGGTGATTTTGATTGACAGGTCAATACACGTGCACTTAGTGTAATACTTTTTAAACAGAAAAATATACAGAGAGTGACTATGACGGACTATGAAATCAGAAAATATTTTATAAAGAATGGGTAAAACTATATAGAACTGATTTTTTGTCTATGTAAATGGATAGGATAATAGGGATTAAAAGGGAATCTCTCTCTCTCTCTCTCTCTCTCTCTCTCTCTCTCTCTCTCTCTCTCTCTCTCTCTCTCTCTCTCTCTCTCTCTCTCTCTCTCTCTCTCTCTCTCTCTCTCACAGACATGTAAATTTCAGTATCTTGCGTAATGAAAAATCACTATTCATGATTTGAAGAAATTTGAATCTACACTACCTGACGTTGCTTCCTTATAAATAAGACCACCAATGAATTTGTTGTCGAGAGAAGATAAACTTTATTGCAATGCATACAGCGTCCGGTGATTTTGATTGACAGGTCAATACACGTGCACTTAGAAAAAATATCCAGAGAGTGACTATGACGGACTATGAAATCAGAAAATATTTTATAAAGAATGGGTACAACTGATATAGAACTGATTTTTTGTCTATGTAAATGGATAGGATAATCAGGATTAAAAGGGAATCTCTCTCTCTTTCTCTCTCTCTCTCTCTCTCTCAGACATGTAAATTTCAGTATCTTGCGTAATGAAAAATCTACTGTTCTGTATACATGTTAATGGTAATTATAACCAAATGTTCCAGATTTAATTGTATAACGAATTTATAATTCAAAGGCCTATAGTTGTAATAATGTCTCCGAATAAAATAAAGAGGGGGGGGGGGGCTTCAAAAGAATTGCATACTCGGTAATTTTATGTTTTATGAATTAAAAGGAAAATACTTAAGGTTGCATGAACATCCATATAATTATATAGCATTGCATAAAAGTGTGTTTATTCGTATACCTTATCTAACATATCAACAGACCTTTGCAGATGTTTTTGTATCATGTTTTTAGCGTAGCATTATTTCACACAGAAACGCCTAACTTTCACATAATGTTAACCCTTTGAGTACTAGTATTTCACAAAAATCCAAGAATCGCTTTTTCTCATCTTTAATAACTTCTCGGGTATTTAAAAGTATAGATCATGTATAATAAATAACACTATAAGACTTTTAATCAATGAAATACATGTATACGTGTTAAAACCAAATCCAATCTATAGATTGATTTTCTTTCTTTTAAGTTGCTGATATCAATTTATTTCTAAAGGCTTTACACCAACTCTTCTATCTCTCAGTTCCCTTTTGAGTAGATATAATATATTAGAATCGAAAATAAAACTCGGATTCCGGGATAATTTCGCATTCAAATTAGAGAATGAATTAAGAATATTTTTTTAAATATAATCATAACAGACATTACAGATTTACACTACGCTGACAACTTTAAACTATGCATATACTGAAAGGAGTAACAAACGTAATCTTTCATGCAGAAGTGGATATGGAAACTCAAAGTCTAATTATTTTTTTATGTGAAAAGTGTGGATATAGACGTCTGCGACGTCATGGATACTACCTCCGCCTTTATCTCGAAAGTTCTATTCCCACTTACAAGTCAGAGTTATCTATCTTTGCTCATTGTCACTACGTAAATAGAGAAAATGAATTTATTGGCGGAACCTTAAATCTCCAAAATGCAGAATCCGATTGAATAAATAATATGTTTAGTAGTTTTGTAGAATACTTTGTATATACATCGCTGTAATGTATAGTGCGTACAATATTATTTTCTTCAAAGTGCTTAGTTGACACAGAACGGATATTTTTTTTAGATATAAATTTGTAAATCAAAAACTTACAATATACAGACTAACACTACACAGCCAAATTTAAACTAATATGCATATAGTGAATTAAGTAACATGCAAAAGAGAGAATATTGAATGTGTAAATATGTTGATCTGGAGAGCATATATATGTCTCTAACGTCATCAATACTATTTCCGCCTTTATCTCGAAAGTTCTATTCTCATTCACCGGTCAGAGTTATCTTTCTTTGCCCATCTTATACATACTACGTAAATAGAGAAAATTTCGGTACTGGAAATATACAAAATGCGGAATCTGATTTAAAAACAAATTATATAATAAGAATTTGTAGAAAAATGTCTGTTTAACATAAGAATATCTTCAAAAAATATCTAAAAACAAAAAAATTAAAAATTGACCAAAAACAAATTCACTTCCGGTTCGGACAGGAAGTACTGGAAACACACGAAAACAACTTCAAAACAAATAGAATATCATGATCTATTACTCCTGTAAATTTCATATCTTTACCTCAAACCGTTTCCGAGAAAACTGCCGGACAAAAGTCCATTTTAAAATTCGAAAATCGGCCATAACTTCGGACCGGAAGTGAATTTTTCAAAAAACGGAATTTTATATAAACTTCATATATCTACCTACTTACATGAGAAAAATTGTGAAAATCTATCCAGCCATCTCTGAGTAATCGCGCTCACAAAATTTGGGAGGAATAATAATAATAATAATAATAATAATAAAAAGAAACACGACAATCACTATAAGTCTTCCGTTGTGAACGGAAGACTTAATAATAATAATAATAATAAAAAGAAACAATACAAACACTATAAGTCTTCCGTTGTGAACGGAAGACTTAATAATAATAATAAGAAACAGAGTAAAAACAATATGTTCCCCAACTTCGTTTGGGGAACATAATTAAGTAAAGAGTTATAATTCAAGTGCACAAAGGTCAACAGAATTTTACAATAGCTCAGTAAGATGCAGACTGGCCCCCTATTTTCTGTGCGATTTTGAGTCATTCTGTATGAGTACTAATCCAAAACATACTTCTCAAAAAATCCTTGATATAACAAATTTCACGAGTGATATACCTTAAAAAGCGATCGAGCTTTTCATTTTAGCGACTTTACAGCAGATATTAATGCGCTAATTCACAATGACATTCAATAAATCATAACTAAACAAATAGATGGGCGCACAGAAATTTGTATCGGTAATTCATGATCAAACCAACTAGTCTATGGAAAGTCAATGTGCTCAATTTTGAATATGTTAACTTTAAATCAGGTAGCATATTCCTCTTAAGGATATCCGATCCTAATCCAGGAAGGATTACTCTTTAATTTATATCTTAATTCAAAAAGTCTCAAAATAAAGCTTGGAATTGAAATATTTTCACGCAACAATTCTAAATTTATGCTTCTCAATGTACACTCTTACAATATTGAAATGAAGATGTATTTGACAAGATGATTAAAGTTTTGAAGTTTTTTTGTACCATTTGCTGAAATGTTGGTATATTTTTATGTTTGCTATAAGAATAAGCAAATCTCTCTAGAAATATTTAAACTAAAGAATCTATCATATTGATACAGCTTATAAGATAAAAGAGTACTATTGATATCCAAGTATTAGTTTTTAAAAAAAAATGGAAACATGATTTTCATTGTCCCTTTTTAGCAAAACAAATCACCTCCTTGGAAAATTAGAAAAGAATGGAAAATTATATTTTTGTAATATAAGTATGTAAATATAATATCAATAAATTTTTGTATTCCTAAACAAGAACGTTCTTATACCCTTTATGAAAAGCTCAATAGTAAACTTGATGTAAGACATACCACAAACCGGGACATAGCAGTAATCCCACAATACATCTGTTTGATTGGTCAGGCACCATGCTCTGTCACGGTCAAAATTTCTGCAGTAGTTTGATTGGTTCATTCCAAGCATGTCATAGTCATGTCTGTGTGGTTTCTGATCTGACCAATATTGACATCCTAAACCTTTGATTGTTTTGTTTTCTGTCCCGCTGTACATGATTCCAGGAATTCGACATTCTGGAATTAAATTTCATAATCGAGTCTGGACCCAATGACATTCTGTGTGATTGAAATTCAAAGTTTAAAGTCGCATCATTTCTTAAGTTCTATGATGGATATAATGACCTTGTCAGCAAATACAATTTATTTATAAGTCAATGGCTGACTGACGTTTTTCATACTAATTGTGAAGCTATTATTTACAAACTCAATTGTTAACAGATTTTCCCGTTATTTCCCGATCATGACACGGAGCACACAACGGGGTTGACTGGTAGGCAAGGGATGCTCACTCCTTCATGGCACCTGATCCCACATCTGATGTCTTAGTGGTCCGAGTTTGCTCTGCTCCGAAAATTGTATTTTTGATTTTTGAGCTGTAATATTGTCCGTTATCTACATATATATTTAAGTTAGAAGTTTAAAACCCTCTCGAAAATTTTTCCCTCAAAGGGACTCTATGATTTAGGATTGTGTGTTTTCTAGAAATTTCACAAGAAATTATTGCTCGATAAATTTAGTGATGAAGACTATATTTGTATAAGCTGAGTAAAGGGAAGAATATATTTTGTATTAGCTGAGTAAAGGTTAAGTGTTGTAGTACCACAGTAAAAACTGTTCTCAGGAAGATCCAGAACACGCCTCCCTTTAAGTGTATCTGGTTTGTCACAAACCACATCGACACGACTTCCTTCCCTGCTCTCTAGTTCTAGCGAGGTGTGATGGGTTTTCACGTAGTCCATTAACCACTTCATTCCACAGTCACATATCAAAGGATTCGAACCCAGATACCTAAGATGGTCAATATAAAGTATCCACAGCATAAAGTACATATATATGCATTGAAAACAATTTTTGACATTAATTATCTATATGAATACATGTACATACAAACGATCAAGTATCGTTCCGTTTCCAAAACAGTTTTTCTGCATTTCTTTTATATTGTTCCCGTCTAGGTATCTGAAAATATTAGAAGCCCGTAGTTGATATAATTATTCTATTTCAAATATTTTTTTTGAATATTTTGAGCGTATTTTACATAATTCACATATGAATATGAATATGATATCTTACACTCTCTTTAAAGCAAGAAGAGACTCAAATGCATGACTTTCAACTCTATTCACAAGGTTTTTATTGAGTACACTGTAATTCAGAACAAAGGACATTTGATATCTGTTATTTTGTTAACACTTATTCTTCTTGAAATAAACAACATAGATAAATATAATATTTTTTAAAAAGAATTAGCAAAGTATTAGAAGTTACTAGTATTTACACGTATTTCACTTTTGGTAAATTCTTAAAAGTTCCCTTCTGGATTTCAGCAAGTTTATTACTAGATAGATATCTGAAAAATGTATGAAACGAAATCTGAAAAATGTATAAATAGAAATCCGAAAAATGCATGTATAAAATAGAAATCTAAAAAATATATAAATAGAAATCTGAAGAATTTGTTCAACAGACGTCTGATAAATAGATAAATAGGTGTCTGAAAAATGTAAAATATAATACAAAAAACTTGCAGATTGAAAATAAAAAAAAAAAATTCACATTCTATTTCTTTTTCAGGAGGTAAAAACAATGTAGTAAACTGAAATACTTGCATTTCTTCTATTAAATCCAATCCATTAAAAAGTCCTGTTGGAAAGGTCTCCAATTCATTTTTGCTCATTGACCTACAATATCAATTATTCTGCGTGTGTATCAATTATGAACTTTGACAGTTGTTCATTTTCGCGCCATAAGTTTTAATTGATGGAACGTTGATAATGTATCAATGATACAATGGGACAAAAGAATAACGACGCGATGATGTAATACGAAGTCACAAGTTAGACGAAGTGATAGATTTCGTTTTCGTTTAATATCACATCTTTAACAATTATTTATCAATATCGCAGCATCGCATAATCAGCATTGCACAATCCTGATATCACACCACTACCCCAAATTCAGCGTATGGCGGTGCAGTATCAAACAAAGTAGCCTTATCTGCAGTTTTGACATAAATGTTTTACACTAGCACTGGAACTGGAAAATTTACATACAACAGTCGTAGATTTTGTAGATCCCGTAGAGCTAGGTTCCCTATTGTTTGAATGGCATTATCTTGCAATTCTCTGTAAAATATGTTCCACAAACTCCATTAATTAAACAAACCAAAAGAAAGTAATTCCTATTCAAATGCTTAGAAAAAATCGACATTCTGCTAATTTTTTTCCTTACATATGTACCACGAGTACTTACAATTTTTCCAATCCTGAAACCATGCGGAAAGTGTCGTTGCTTATCGCTGTAATCTTATTACTGTTTAGACGTCTGTAAAAAAGAAAATATTCTGACATACCAGGGGTGGTTCTAAAACATTGGAACTTAAAATGCATGATTCCTTTTTAAAGCCGGATTAGCGTATATTAATATTTATTTGTTGCTTTCAAAAAACGTTTAACAAATATTTTTTCTGAATTTTGCTTACAAATTCTGAAGATTTGGAAGCCTTTCAAAAGCACCGTCCTCTATCATTTCAATTTTGTTTTTGCTGAAATCTCTACAAAACATTATCCAAATAACCATTTGTAAAAAAAAAAAAAAAAAAAAAAAAAAAAAGTAGCAGATGTAACAAACTCCTAGAGCTAATTTTAGATTCCTAGGTCCAAATGAAACCTTACTTTTGTAAAGGAAACTCAAAAGTAAATCTGTACATATATACATTAATTTGAGTATATTTTATTGAATAGATATCATAAGTTCAGTTACAAATGTCGACAAACATAACAGATATATTACGTTAACCTAATAGCCAGCAAAATCACTTATATTTAGGTTGGGATATATGACCATATTATCTTGTATGTTATTTTAAAAATCCCGATGATATAATTCTCAATCATCCTTTCTTTCATGTCAATATAAATATCTTATTTATCATATAAAAATATGTTACATTTGAATACAAAAACGTAAAAGTTAATTTGGTTTGCGGACTGTTATGAATAGATACTGTATGTATATTCGTCGTACCGGAATTCAATATACAAATGTTTATGCTCCTAATTGCTTCAACAAGAAACTCCTCATTAATAGATGGTTTGCAAAATTAAATTACAGAAAATATTCTCAGATAATACTGTTAACAGGGACCCTATGGACCTATGGACGAAGTGAAATAGTAGGGACTGGCTTTAGTCAGACTGCTGTTAATCACTGAATCTAGAGACAAGCATATCAAACTTTGCATTTATGTTATATCTTTTACGCTTACAATAACTTCAGTCGAATTGTTTTCCAGAAATATTGACGTTTGATTATTTTCAGGTGGTTGTATGATGCCGATCTACAAGAATAAAGAAAACAAGAATGATAGAGAGGCACTCATAGGCATATTCATTATATTTTTCTGTCGCTAATGTTATATTCATATTGTTCAAATCGTTAAACCATATCAAAAGTACATATATTCATAAATTGCAGCAATTATTATACATGTAATTTCTTCGCCCACATTATATTTATGTATATTGAAAACAACCTGACACAAGCAGAACACGAAATATTTATACTTACAGTACTTCTAGTTGTTCCAAGTAGGTAAAGGCGTCAGGGTGAATATGACTTAATCTATTTTTGTACAAATACCTGAAATGAGGAAATACAGTGAAAGAACGTGCTAAAAATTAAGACACATCTTCTTGGTAATCGATTTCAACTATTTTTTGTCCTTAAACAACTATTTTTTTTTTATTTTAAGCATAAATAGATAAAGAATTTATAAATATAAATTGTAATTAGGTTAAATATATTTTCACAAAAATGTATGGTGTTGAATATTTCTGGTGATTAATTTGATTCAATCAGTTTTTATTATGTAAAGTCCATTTCCTTCAGTAGATTGGACATTAAGCATGGTCTATATATCATCTCCAAGCAGACTGGCAATTAAATACTTACAATTTCTTCAGGGAAGCACCTTTTTCAAGCTGATTTTCAGTTATGTTCTCAATCTCATTTCTTCCTAAAAATCTACGAAGTAGAGAATTAAGAATCCTGTACAAATGGCCAGGTATTTTTTGATAGATTTGGGTTATTTGGTCAGTAATAATTCGTATATTATAACGTATTATTAAAAAAAAAACATGGTTAGTGCATAAGAAATATAACTTTTCCAGACATTTAGCACTTATTTCAATGAGCACATATCAGTGCATTAGTAGCATGTTGGTTTAAAAAAAAACATGTATATTAATGTATTATGATGTTAAGCACGTTCAGCATTTATATTTTCATTCAGAATTTGTTTTAGTTTGTATGAATACATTCATAGGTATATATTAGTTATATTTCATATATCAAAAGGAAAATGAAAGTTTTTGGATAAATGCTGCTTCTGTGTGAATGCAAAAAATAGGTATTCAAAATCGAAGCGCAATAAAATTAAATGGAAATTCAAAGATTGTTGGAAGACTTCATCTCTAAAAGTAACACAGATATTATTGTCATTTCTTTAAATAAAAATGCATTTTTAATATCAACTTCAGAGTGCTTGCGAGAATAATCAGATATTTATTAACATAATTATTTTTGTAATGATCAATAACAAGGTACGTATATTTACTGAAAAAGCAGCTATCTGTGACGTTTAGAAAGCCTGGACTTTACTTATTCGTTGGGAATGGTTGTAGTAAGTGTGAAAAAAAAATCCATGTTTTGATGATATTGATTTTTTGTAAAATAAAAAAAAAAGTATTCAAATTTTGCGAAAGCTCCTTTAAAGTATAAGAATACTCATAATATTAAACATCACAAGTTTCCATTATAGGTAAAGGTAAATCAATTTCAATCTGATTGTAAAAATATCTCAAATTGAGATTGACATATAATATGAAAGAAAATTTTTCATTAAGGTGGATAACATTTACATTTGTATCAGAATTAAATCCAAATTCTTCTTCAATATACTGTAAAATCGTTTGAGAGAAATATCTGCATGTGAGTTTCGCGACCTACTTAAACTCTCGAATATTAATCTTCGGAAACTATTTATTTTGCTTTGGATTTCATGAAGAGAATGTTTATTCATTAGAAAAAAATTAATGGTCGCAGATTGATTTCAAATTGACGAATCGCGAATAAAAGATGACGCGAATAATAGTTGGTTTACAATACTTAAAATAGTGAGCCTTAAAAACAAGGACTACATAATAACTTACAATGTCTTAATTATATTCGCCGAGGAAGACAACAATCGTAATGGAACTTTAAATTATTTTGAAAACTGACAAGATATGAAAGTTTTAAAGACGAGGCGGTTGTCTTTAAGAAAGCAATCCACGTACCCACAATTAAGAAATGATTAAAATTATTGTATACAACAGAAAATTGACATAAAAAGAATTATTACCTCGCTTGAAAAAATAATTAAAAGAAAATATATCTACTACATAATGAATATGAATATGCCAGAGGGTTTACAGAATACCTACAGTTCGGTCGTTTTGTCGGGGATATCTTGTGGTATAAACGAAAATCCTTGATTTTCACACATCACCACTGTCCCATTACAAGAACATTTATCAGGACAGCCATACACATAGACGATGATAACACAGAAAACAAGACCAATGTTTCTCTGAAGCATATTGATTGTTTTAAAATATCTATGATCTTTTTGGATGTTTATACACTTGTGGGTATATAAATAAAGCAGGAATAAGGAAGACAAGTTATATCCTTATTTGGGAGGTTGTGATATATTCCCAAAATCTACTTAATTAAGGGGGATGTACGGCCACCATAAGTGCAATAAGAACAAAATTTAAACAATTCTTCAAATGCCTAAAATACATTATATTAATTTTGATCATATTTCAAGTCCTTATGATAAAGATACAATAAATATGCATAATTGAATGCATGTTGTGTATATAATCCATACTTTTTCAGAAAATGCTTTTGATATGCTCCTTAGACCTGCGAAGCTACAGAATTCAGCCGAGCCTTTAAAAATCCAAAAAAATATGCAAAGTATGCATTAATGTTCTCTCTTCAACCATTTGTTGAGAAAATGTCTAAATTTTGCACTTTTAAATGGAAATTTCAAGTTCAAAACAAGGTACTGTTGTCTTCAAAATGAGTGTGAAAGAACTATGAAAGTAGTTCATGGATAGCAGCAGGTGGTCTATTTTTAGCACAGAATTTTTTTCCAGACCTCTTCTTAATATGGAAGTACATAATAATCTTAAAAAGTAGAAGAGAAATACAGCTGGAAAATGTTTCAAATAATATGAACATTTTTAAAAGAGAATTTGTGTTATATTGTGGCTTAAAGTAATTAGTATTAGTATGTGTCTGATTAAAAATTAAAATAAGGAGGTCACAATGGCAATATGTAACAAAGATTCTGTGAAAGTTTCATAAAATTTCATTCAGTGGTTTAAGATGATTTGCGAATAAGACATGGGTATCCCAAAGAGTAACGGACAGAGGAATAGACGAACAGCTATACAGACGGACGGATGGACATCCCGATAACTATATACCCCCCCCCCTCCGCTTTTTAAGCGGTGTGTATAAAAATAACGATTGACAAAGTTCTGACAAAGGCTACGCTCTAGTTCTCACTCTTACCTAGACCTCTCTTATATTTGATTTAAGTTAAAATAAATAATGCATGCAGACATGTAATATTATATGTCGTTCTTGGTGACTTGTATTACTAGTTTTCTTTTCATTTATAATCGTTAAATTCGAAGTATCAGTGTGATACACATAAAAGGCATTGATTTACTTTTAACTGTGCAAAGTTAAAGAAGTATGCCCTCGAAAAATAAGTTTTGGCGGTTTTTGCCCTTTCTGTTCGTCCGTCTGTCTAGCTGTCCGTCCGTCTGTTTTTCTGCAAAAACTTAAACCTTGCCAATAAGTTTTCATTGGTGGGGTTATGGCTTTCATATTTCACAGGTGTATTTCTTGTAACATAGCATTCCTTTACGTGCCACCAAAATTTGCTCTTTTGACCTTGGAGTTTGACCTACTTTTACAAAAAATAACACACTTTAACCTTCGCCATAAATTTTGAACAATTGAATCTAGGGTTTTCATACATCACATGTGTATTCACTGTGACAAGACCTTTCAGCTGAATTAAATATTTTTAACTGTTTTACTTTGACCTACGAGTTTGACCCACTTCTTGAAAAAGGATAATTCTCTATAAGGCCTTTTTGCGGCCTACCATGACTTCAAGTATTCAGATAGTATTTTTTCCCTTAAAAATTGCATGAATCAGTAGGCTTATGTTCCAATTCAATGATAAATATTGGTTGGTTAATGATACAATAGTATTTGTTATGATATAGGGGCACAAATTTAAGTACCAACGGTCCGTACTAGCTTTAGAGTAATGGGAAAACTCAAGAGGGTGGCTGTGTTAGATAACTCCTACGCATGTCATAACCGCCTTTAACCAACACCAAATTTTGCATGCAAATTTCTTTTAAACATAAAAAGTGACTACCAAATTGTGAATTTGGTTAAAGGTGGTTATGACATATAAATAAAAACTTTCCGCTTAATTTTTATGATATTTGCAGAAAAAGCTAACTACTCACAATGAAGGATATCAGCTTATGTTGATTATTTCTTTTTACGAACTTTTGGTTAGAGTTCAATTTTCTGTTGATTTACTAAGAATTTATATAAACCATGCATATTTTACTAAAATAATGTCCGCCTTTTACTAAATTAATCTAAAATCAAAGGACTAGAAAGACTGGATGTCATGAAATTACAAGTGGAGACGTTTCGTTGAAATGTCTGATAAGAATTAAAACTTTTTATAGGCTATAAGGCGTGAATATGAGTTATCTTTTATGATTACATGTATGAATATTTATAATGATAGTTTATTTATCTATGTATGCTACTTCTTTGAATCCTCTTATGTGAACTGCATATCATCTTTGTATTTCCTTCTAAGTACTGTATTTGTTCTATAAATGATAAAGCCATCCTTGTTGAAGCAGTAAAATATACTTGGCAAAATAAGTAGGGATAATTTTTTTACACAAGAATAATATTTTCATACCCATGAATTTATGTAACAACAAGGCTCAAGTAGTTTTAAAAACATGTCATTTAAACGATTAGATACTTAAATCACACGTGTTTAATGAGTTTTGGGGCATATTGGTCAAGAAAATACGTGGCGTTAAAAAAGTAAGTGGAACAATGAGAGCATAGAAGTATCAAGGAGGTTTTCTTTAGTGAACATAAGAAAATTTCAGCATATCTGGCCAGAACTGGTGATAAGACGCTATGAGGAGGCATATGAGTATGGACGAACACTCCATGGCAGCAGGGATGCTGGAAGCTGGCAAAACGCAACGTCACGTTGCAGAAAGACTTTATCTTTCCCAAAGCGGAATTAACGGTTATGGAACCGATATTCACAGGCAGGATATTGTCAAAGAAGGCTAAAATCGGGACGTTCAAGGTGTACGGCAGTCCGTGAGGATCGTTATTTGGCCAATTTTGCTGAGACGAATCGCTTCCAAAGTGCTCTTAAGCTTAATACTGAGCATCAGAGAGCAACGGGCAGACGGATTTCTTCTCAAACAGTTTGAAACAGACTTCAGGAAGCAAATCTCAAGGCTTGCCGACCAGCCGTACGTCCTGTATTAAAATTAGAGTGCCGCACAAATCGACTTCAGTGGGCAACAGAACACAAAAAATTGGCAATAACGTCATTGGAGTTCTGTTCTTTTCTCAGACGAGTCGCGATTTTGTTTTGACTTCCATGATGACAGGAGACTTGTTTGGATTGCCAGTTTTGAAAGATATGCTGATTGTGTCACTTCTGAGAAATACAGAGTAAATGGAGGTTTGGTGGTGATTTGGGCAGGCATAAGTATCGACTGCAAAACTGATCTGCACATTATTGAAGGCAACCTGACAGGTTTAAAATACCGAAATGATATTCTTCATCATATTGTTAGAGTATTTCATGTACTCGGGGGGAGGATTTCATCTTAATGGACAATAGTGCTCGACCTCATAGAGTCCGAATTGTAAACGAGTACATGGAAAGTGAAACAACTTAGCGTATGGACCCGCCGAGTCATTTTCTAGACCTGAAGTTAATTGAACATGCCTGGAACATTCTTTAGCAACGCATTTCAGTTCGTCTTACACTTCCCCAAAATCGACGGGAGCTTCAGACAGCATTGCAGGAGGAATGGCAACATATCCCTCAGGCTAGCCTTAGACGGCTGATGGCCAGCATGAGTCTGCGCTGCAGGGCCTCGCGGGGAGGTCGTACAAACTACTGGGAATCATTTTAGTGACGTAATTTGACTCTTCTGAAAAAAATCTCATTTTCAGGTCTACCCCCAACATGCCGAATTCTAAAGTGACTGTAATGAACAATTAGTAGCGTGTGTTCAAACAAATTTATCACATCCAAAGTTTAATTTTCACTTTTTAAGTATAAAATATGATACTAAAATTAGGCTAAAACTGCATTCTGTTTTTTATGATACAGTATTTGTAAAACATTTTTAATTTGATGATCCTTAAGTTTTTTTGTCCACTATATACATTTAATAAAAAATCGTAACTGAATACCATTGATTGACGTGCAGAATTTTTATCGCTTATTCGTGGAAGGTCAATGGTAAATTTTGTATGCGTTAATTTTTAATCACGTAGTATATTCCTCTTATGAAAATCCGATTCTCAGCCAGAAAGGATTACTCTTTAATTTATGACTTAATATTCAAAAAGTTTCAAAATAAAGCTTGAAATTGAAATTTTTTCTTGCAACAATTTTCAATTTATGCTTCTCAATGTACATTCTTAAAATATTAAAATGAAGATATATTTGTCAAGATGATTAAAGAATCTACATGTATATATATATTGATACAATTTATTAGATAAAGAGTTACAATTGATATCCAAGTATAAGTTAACAAAAATGTAAACATAATTTACAATGTTTCTTTTTCACAAAAAAAATCACTTTCTTGGAAAATTAGAAAAAAAATGGAAAATTATATTTTTATAATGTAAGTATGTAATTATAATATCAGTAAATTTTGTATTCTTAGAAAAGAACGCTCTTATACCCTTCATGAATAGCTCAATAGTAAATTAAACTTTATGTAAGACATACCAAAAAATGGGACATCGCAGTAATCCCACAATACTTCTGTTTGATTGGTAAGACACCATGCTCTGTCACGGTCAAAATTTCTGCAGTAGTTTGATTGGTTCATTCCAAGCATGTCATAGTCATGTCTGTGTGGTTTCTGCTCTGACCAATATTGACATCCAAATCCTTTGATTGTTTTGTTTTCTGTCCCGCTGTACATGATTCCAGGAATTCGACATTCTGGAATTAAATTTTATAATCAAGCCTGGACCCAATTGGATTGTTTATGATTAAAATCCAAAGTTTAAAGTCTCATCATTTCGTAAGTTCAATGGTCGATATAATGACCTTGTCAGCAAAAACACTCTACCATTAAGTCAATGGCTGACTGACGTTTTCATACTTATTGTGAGATTATTATTTACAAACTCTATTGTTAACGGATTTTTCCGTTATTTCCCGATCAAGACAAGGATCACACGACAGGGTTGACTGGTGGGCAAGGGATGCTCACTCCTCCATGGCACCTGATCCCACCTCTGATGTCTAAGTGGTCCGAGTTTGCTCTGCTCCGAAAATTGTATTTTTATATGACCTTTTGAGCTGTAATAGTGTCCGTTATCTGCATATATATTTAAGTTAGATGTTTAAACCCCTTTCGAAAATTTTTCACTCAAAAGGACTCTATGATTAAGGATTGTGTGTTTTCTAGAAATTTCACAAGCAATGTAGGAAGTTGTTACTCGCTAAATTTAGTGATGAAGACTAAATTTGTATCAACTGAGTAAAGGGAAAATATATTTGTATAAGCTGAGTAAAGGTAAAAGTGTTGTAGTACCACAGTAAAAACTGTTCTCAGGAAGATCCAGAACACGTCTCCCTTTAAGTGTATCTGGTTTGTCACAAACCACATCGACACGACTTCCTTCCCTGCTCTCCAGTTCTAGCGAGGTGTGATGGATTTTCACGTAGTGCATTAACCACTTCATTCCACAGTCACATATCAAAGGATTGGAACCCAGATACCTAAGATGGTCAATATAAAGTATGCACAGCATAAAGTACATATATAAGCATTGAAAACATTTTTACATCCATAAGCATGTACATACAAACGATCAAGCCTCGTTCCGTTTCCAAAACAGTTTTTCTGCATTTCTTATATACTGTTCCCGTCTAGGTATCTGAAAATATTATAAGCCCATTTTTTATTTAATTACTAGTATTTTATTTCAAGTATCTTTTTTGTATTTTGAGCGTATTTTATATAATTCACACAAGAATTGCTGAATATTATAGCTTACACTGTCTCTAAAGCAGGAAGAGACTCAAATGCATGACTTTCAACTCTATTCAAAAACTTTTTATTGAGTACTCTGTAATTAAGAAAAAAAAGATATTTGATATTTGGCATTATGTTAACACTTATTCTTCTTGAAATAAACAACATAGATAAAAAATAATATTTTTTAAAAGAATTAGCAAAATATTAGAAGTTACTAATATTTACATGTATTTCACTTTTGGTAAATTCTTAAAAGTTCCCTTCTGGATTTCAGCAAGTTTATTGTTAGATAGATATCTGAAAAATGCATAAATAGAAATATGAAAAAAAATGTATAAATAGAAATCTTAAGAATGTGTTCAACAGATATCTGTCGATTGGATACATAGGTGTCTGAAAAATGTGAAATATAATACAAAAAAGTGAACTTGCAGATTGAAAATTAAAAAAAATATTCACATTCCATTTCTTTTTCCGAAGGTAAAACACAGGGGCGTAGTAACCGGGGGGCCAGCCCCCCCCCCCCACTTTTTTCCCCAACTTTACTTATACTATAGGAAATGTTAATTGAAAGCCTGGTTGGCCCCTCCACTTTTAGTGATGTACCGAAAATGTAGTATTAGATTGGTACTTAAAGTAGTTGACACTGAGAAAATAGTTTACCTACCCCCACCCACCCACGAAATAGGATTTTCGAGTTTGGGCAACATTTAACTTTTTCCTTTTTTTTTTTTGCTTGTCAACTTTTTCAGGTAAGTAAAAAAAAAATTTCTCTGGCTGGCCCCCCACTTTCAAAAACGATGCTACGCCACTGAAACATGTAGTAAACTGAAATACTTGCATTTCTTCTATTAAATCCAATCCATTAAAAAGTCCTGTTGGAAGGGTCTCCAATTCATTTTTGCTCATTGACCTACAATATCAATTATTCTGCGTGTGTATCAATTATGAACTTTGACAGTTGTTCATTTTCGCGCCATAAGTTTTGATTGATGGAACGTTGATAATGTATCGATGATACAATGGGACAAAAGAATAACGACGCGATGATGTAATACGAAGTCACAAGTTAGACGAAGTGATAGATTTCGTCTTCGTTTAATATCACATCTTTAACAATTATTTATCAATATCGCAGCATCGCATAATAGCACTGTACAATCCTGATATCACACCACTACCCCAAATTCAGCGTATGGCGGTGCAGTATCAAACAAAGTAGCCTTACCTGCAGTTTTGACATAAACGTTTTACACTAGCACTAGAACTGGAAAATTTACATACAACAGTCGTAGATTTTGTAGATCCCGTAGAGCTAGGTTCCCTATTGTTTGAACGGCATTATCTTGCAATTCTCTGTAAAATATGTTCCACAAATTCCATTAATTAAACAAACCAAAAGAAAGTAATTCCTATTCAAATACTTAGAAAAAATCGACATTCTGCTAAAAATTTTTCTTACATATGTACCACGAGTACTTACAATTTTTCCAATCCTGAAACCATGCGGAAAGTGTCATTGCTTATCGCTCTAATCTTATTACTGTTTAGACGTCTGTAAAAAAGAAAATATTCTAGCATACCAGGGGTGGTTCTAAAACATTGGAACTTAAAATACATGATCCCTTTTCAAAGCCGGATTAGCGTAAATTAATATTTATTTGTTGCTTTCAAAAAACGTTTAACAAATATTTTTTCTGAATTTTACTTACAAATTCTGAAGATTTGGAAGCTTTTCAAAAGCACCGTCCTCTATCATTTCAATTTTGTTTTTGCTGAAATCTCTACAAATAACCATTTGTAAAAAAAAAAAGTAGCAGATGTAACAAACTCCTAGAGCTAATTTTAGATTCTTATGTCCAAATGAAACCTTACTTTTGTAAAGGAAACTCAAAAGTAAATCTGTACATATATACATTAATTTGAGTATAATTCATTGAATAGATATCATAAGTTCATTTACATATGTCGACAAACATAACAGATATATTACGTTTACCTAATAGCCAGCAAAATAACTTATATTTAGGTTGGGATATATAACCATATTATCTTGTATGTTATTTTAAAAATCCCGATGATATAATTCTCAATCATCATTTCTTTCATGTCAATATAAATATCTTATTTATCATATAAAAATATGTTACATTTGAATACAAAAAGTAAAAGTTAATTTGGTTTGCGGACTGTTATGAATATACTGTATGTATATTCGTCGCACTGGAATTCAATATACAAATGTTCATGCTCCTAATTGCTTCAACAAGAAACTCCTCATTAATAGATGGTTTCCAAAATTAAATTTCAGAAAATATTCTCAGATAATACTGTTAACAGGGACCCTATGGACCTATGGACGAAGTGAAATAGTAGGACTGGCTTTAGTTCAGACTGCTGTTAATCACTGAATCTACAGACAAGCATACCAAACTTTGCATTTATATCTTTTACGCTTACAATAACTTCAGTCGAATTGTTTTCCAGAAATATTGACGTTTGATTATTTTCAGGTGGTTGTATGATGCCGATCTACAAGAATAAAGAAAACAAGAGTGAGAGAGAGGCACTTATAGGCATATTCATTATATTTTTCTGTCGCTAATGTTATATTCATATCGTTCAAATCGTTAAACCATATCAAAAGTACAAATATTCATAAATTATCATACATGTAATTTCTTCGCCCACATTATATTTATGTATATTGAAAACAATCTGACACAAGCAGAACACGAAATGTTTATACTCACAGTACTTCCAGTTGTTCCAAGTAGGTAAAGGCGTCAGGGTGAATATGACTTAATCTATTTTTGTACAAATACCTGAAATGAGGAAATACTGTGAAAGAATGTGCTAAAAATTAAGACACATCTTGTTGGTAATCGATTTCAACTAATTTTTGTCCTTAAACAACTATTTTTTTTTTAAATTTTAAGCATAAATAGATAAAAAATTTATAAATATGAATTGTAACCAGGTTAAATATATTTTCACAAAAATGTACGGTGTTGAATATTTCTGGTGATTAATTTGATTCAATCAGTTTTTATTATGTAAAGTCCATTTCCTTAAGTAGATTAGACATCAGGCATGGTCAATATATCATCGCCAAGCAGATTGGTAATTAAATACTTACAATTTCTTCAGGGAAGCACCTTTTTCAAGCTGATTTTCAGTTATGTTCTCAATCTCATTTCTTCCTAAAAATCTACGAAGTAGAGTATTAAGAATTCTGTACAAATGATCAGTCACTTTTTAATAAATTTGGGTTATTTGGTCAGTAATAATTCGTATATTTAAGGAATCACTGTCTAGTTAGGAGGGTATGTCAGGGCATCAACAATAGTGGGAAACATGGGATAATTTGCATAACGGGCGAAGCCCGTTATGCTAAATTATCCCATGTTTCCAACTATTGTTGATGTCCCTGACATAGCCTCACTAGACAGTGATTCCTTATATTTCCATTTCATTGTGAAATAAAATTGTAGATTTAGACTTTAAAAATATAGATTAATAGATTTAAATCACGTGATGACTTCCATGCCAATTTCAATAGTCCTCGGCAACCGACGTCAAACACAAAGACAGCCGCACGAGATTTACATGCATATTTGGCCTCCTTAGCGTCAGACACAGAGACAGATGCGCACGAAAATTGCATGCGTATTAGGCCTGCTTAGCTCCCGACCTATCGACCTGCCTAATTTACATTCCGGCAGAATTATCAAGAAATAAACTACCCCTAACTTTCAAAGAGTTATCACAGAGAAAAAAAATTAGAAATGGAAATATTATAACGTATTAATTAAAAAAAAACATGGTCAATGCATAAGAAATATAACTTTTCAAGACATTTAGCACTTATTTCAACGAGCACAGATCAGTGCATTAGTAGCATGTTGGTTTTTAAAAAAAGCATGTATATTTATGTATTATGATGTTAAGCACACTCATCATTTATATTTTCATTCAGACTTTGTTTTAGTTTGTATGAATACATTCATAGATATTAATTATATTTCATATATCAAAAGGAAAATGAAAGTTTTCGAGTAAATGCTGCTTCTGTGTGAATGCAAAAAATAGGTCTGCAAAATCGAAGCGCAATAAAATTGAATGGGAATTCAAATAGATTGTTGGAAGACTTTATCTCTAAGAGTAACACAGATATTATTGTCATTTATTTAAATAAAAAAAGCATTTTTAATGTTCAACTTCAGAGTGCTTGCGAGAATAATCAGATATTTATTAACATAATTATTTTTTGTAATGATCAATAACGAGGTACGTAAATTTACTGAAAAGCAGCTATCTGTGACGTTTGGAAAGCCTGGACTTTACTTACTCGTTGGGAATGGTTGTATTAAGTGTAGAAAAAAATCCATGTTTTGATGATATTAATTTTTTGTAAAATAAAAAAAGAAGTATTCAAATTTTGCTAAAGCTCGTTTAAAGTATTAAGTAAACATCACAAGTTTCCATTATCGTCTGGTAATTCAATTTCAATCTGATTGTAGAAATATCTCAAATTTAGATTGACATATAATATGAAAGAAAATTTTTCATTAAGGTGGATAACAATTATCAAAATTAAATCCAAGTTCTTCTTCAATATACTGAAAAATCGCTTGAGAGAAATATCTGCATGCGAGTTTCGCGACCTACTTTAAAATCGCGAAATTAATCTTCGGAAACTATTTATTTTGCTTCGGATATCAAAAAGAAAATGTTTATTCATTAGCGAAAATTAATCGTCGCAGATTGATTTCAAATTGACAAATTGTGAATAAAAGATGATGCGAATAATAGTTGGTTTACAATACTTAAAATGGTGAGCCTTAAAAACGAGGCTTTTTTTTAACTTACGTTATATATACGTCATAATTATTCTCGCCGAGGAAGACACTAATCGTACAATAGAACTTTATTAGTCAAATAGCTTTAAAATTATTTTGAAAACTGACAAGATATGAAAGTTTTAAAAAACCAGACGATTGTCTTTGAAAGCAAACCACGTACCCCAAACAAGAAATGATTACAATTATTGTATACAACAGAAATCGGATATAAAAAAGAATTATTACCTCTCTTGAAAAAAAAAAAGAAAGAAAATATATTTGCTACATGATGAATATGAATATGCCAGAGGGTTTACAGAATACCTACAGTTCTGTCGTTTTGTCGGGGGTATCTTGTGGGGATAAAAGAAAATCCTCGATTTTCACACATCACCACTGAACCATTACAAGAACATTTATCAGGACGATGCACATAGACAATGATAACAGAGAAAACAAGACCAATGTTTCTCTGTAGCATATTGATTGTTTTAAAATACCCAGAACCTTTTTGGATGTTTATATACTTGTTGGTATATAAATAAAGCAGGAATAAGGAAGACATTATATCCTTATTTGGGATGTTGGAAAAATATTATATTCCCAAATTCTACTTAAAGGGGGGTGTCCGGCCACCATTAGTACAATACGAACAAAATGTAAACATTTCTTCAAATGGCTAAAATACGTTATATTTTGATCATATTTCAAGTCCTACAATAAA